GGCACCAGAGGTTAAAGGTGCTCATCTAAAGGTCAAAATGACATCAAGATCCTGAACCATCTCAGAGATTAGTGTGCAAGGGAAACAGTCACGAATACCTACGGATATGCCGAGTACAACAGTTCTGATTATGAAAACTGAAATCTGCAACATCATATATTTGGGCTCTAATGACCAAGTGTGAAGACATTTTTGTGTTGCCAGGCTCCTGAGACAGTGGGAGGCCTGTGCGCTGTAAACTTTCACTGCCCTGTCAGTGTATGCATTAATTGTCCCTTCAGTTGCCTAACTTGACCAGCTGCAGCAGCCACTGATTCTGGAAGCTCACCTCAAAGGAAAGTGAACACAGGCAGGAATTATATCGGGATTTCAACCCATTGCAGTGCATTCTAAAGTTCTACGTCAATACCACCCCACGGCCACAGCTTCAGAAGATGACCCTACAAAGCTGGTAAACATCCGGCCTATATTTCCTTTCAGAATATGCTTGTGCGCATTTTAAACAAAAGAATTTCTTTTAATGTAGCCACAGTGAAAACAGAAAAGACTTGTGTGGCTCAGGGCAGCACGGTGGCTCAGTGGTTAGCACTACTGTCTCACATTGCCAGAAACGGAGGTTCAATTCCACCCTTGGGTGACTGTCTGTGTGGAGTTTGCACCATTCTTCCCGTGTCTGCGTGGGTTTCCTCTGGCTTCCTCCCACTGTCCAAAGATGTGCCTGCTAGGTAGGATTGGCCATGCTAAATTGGTGCATAGTGTTCAGGGATGTGTTGGTTAGGTGTGTTGGCCAGGGATAGAGTAGAGGATGGGTCTGGGTGGGATACTCTTCGGAGGGTTGGTGTGGACTTGTTGGGCCGAAAGGTCTGTTCCCATACTCTAGGGATTCTATGATATGATTAAAAAATTAGAGCAGGAGTAGGATATTTGGGTCTTCAAGTTTGCTCTACTACTCAACAGGATCATAATTGATCTATCTCTACTCCACCTTACCACGCTATTCCCATATTCCTTAATTCCCTTTGTATCCGAAAACCTACTGACTTGTTCTCAATTACTAAACATCCCCAGATCTCCATGGTTAAAAATTCCAAAGATACACAATCCTCAGAGATAAGAAATTTTCTCCCATCTCAGTCTTAAATGGTTGAGCCCTTATTGTGAAAAGTTCTGGATTCAACAGCATCCAGTCTACAAAGAACCCGAAGAGGTCTATGGGCTGAGCTTTTCTGGCCCATTGGAGATGGACTATAGGGGAACAGAGTGACTCCCCATGGTAACAGCATTGCTGATGCACCATGGCCACTTCCTCATTCCCTGTCAAGCGTCAGGGCCCACCTTTACGACTGGGCAGCAGTTGTTGCAGGGTGGCCACTGTCCTGCAGCAGCTCTTGACTGCAGGATGCTGCCTGGATAACATGTTCATTTCACACTTTCAACCCCACAGGTTGGATCTGAATTCCTCAAGAAATTCTATGTCTTTCAATTAGATTACTTCACATTCTTCTAAACTCCCAGAGTATTGGCCTTTCCTACAAAATCACTCCTCATACGGTAATCCCCTTGATTGGGTTGAATTGCAGTCATATGTAAATCTCCTTCCTGGTCTGTTGTAATCATGTCACCACTATCATGAGGCACACAAACTACAAATAGATATTTTAGATTCACTTTAATAGAAACTTTGTGGGGAACACACTTATCCCCGGAACGAACCTAGTGAATCTCTGCTGCACTTCCTCTGATGTAAGTATACCCGTACTCAGGAAGAGAGCAAAACAGCTCACAGTTCTCACGTTGACCACTACCCTGTCTAATCATAGTAAAACTTCTTTAATCTTATATCCCATCTCCTTGTCTAAATGCAATATAGTTTGTGTCTTTATTTATTCACATGGAACATGGGCCAGCATTTCTTGCACATACCTAGTTGTCCTTGAGAAGTTGATGGTGATCTGCCTTCTTGAACTGCTGCACTCCATTTGCTGTAGGTAGAACCACAATGCTGTTCTGGAGAGAGTTCCAGGAACTTGACCAAGCATGATTTCTAGTTGTACCTCCATATTAACCTTTTACAATTCATTTACAAGATCACCATACTCCCTTCATAATCAATTATTTTACCAGTATCTCAGCAATCTGAAAACATTCTGATGTTTTTTGTCTACAAAGTGGATACCTTGGCACTTTTGCACACTGTATTCCTCCTGACCTTTCACATTTAAGTCAGCCTATCTGGGTCTTGACACTACTTCAGTACGTAGTCAAATCTGATACTCCCATGCTCTGCTGAAAACATAACTCATTGCCTGTGATTTTGTCCTTTGGATTAGTTTTGAATTGAGATCAGTTTAATTGTTCTGCTTTTCTGGTCATCATTGAAAATCCTCTCAAATACTCAAAAGGAAGAAATGTTTCATCTAAAACCAACAGATTTATTTGTTCATTGAAGACTATTTGTGGCAACTCACTATACACAAATTCTCCACTGCATGCCTATGCTTCAGAATGTTTGAAATATGCAGTAAGCTCAAATCTTTCTTCTACTTTTATAAATAAAAAGCTGAGAGCAGCACAGTGGCTCAGTGGTTAGCACTGTTGCCTCAGCGCTAGAGACCCAACCCTTGGGTGACTGTCCATGTGGAGTTTACGCATTCTTCCCATGTCTGTGTGGGTTTCCTCTGGGTGCTCCAGTTTCCACCCCACGCCCCCCACCAACAGTCCAAAGATGTGTCGGTTTCATGGATTGGCCATGCTAAGTTGCCCAGTGTCCAGGAATGTGCAGGCTAGGTGGAACAGCCATGGGAAATATGGGGTTACAGGGATTGGGCAGGGGTCTGGGTCTAGTTGGGATACTCTTCAGAGGGTCAGTGCAGACTGTCTGGATTCTATGATTCTAAGTATAGACTGTAACTTAATTTGTTTATCAAAGTGCAATTCTTCTGCCAAAGTATTGCCTGAACGTATGCACGAACAAAATGCAGACACTCACTCACATCACTTTGATGTTTATTGACTTCCATTGCGTATTTAACATCCGGCGGTTCTTTCATGATAGAATAATTTGATTTTCCTTTCTCTGCATCATATTTCTGCTTATATTGTTTCTAATAAGAAAAAATATGCATATTAATAGTGTCTAAATAGGATAAAATAATGCAATAACGTTTATTTTTTTTAAAAACTCCCCTTTTCCCCCATTTTGGATTGAAGACATTTTAAATCGTATTCAGTTTGTAACAATGTTATAGTTTATTTAACTGAGAAAAATAATGAACAAAATTGGGATACAAAATGATAAAATTATACCACACTTAAAATGGATGTAATATTGAATAGTCTTCAAAGCAAGAAGAGGAGTTTTGCTTTGTGATTAAAACTCCATTGCTCTTCCTGATGCAAGTGGCACAATGTGGATTTACTGCATTAAATGTAAACATAACAGTAAAGTGGATTTACAACACTTGTACTGCAATCAGAACTAAATTACTGACAGCAAGCACATCACCTAAAGATATTCACAACGCTGAGTGTAGTATTAATATGGCACTCTTGATACTGTCGCAACTCTCTCCTTACATTGCATGCAAAATTAATTCTGCATAATATGTTAGTAACAACAGACTACATCATTGTACCTCACTCTGAATCTGTGAAACTTCTTTCGCAAACACTGTGTCTATAGTGGCTGGCATCTGTGCGTACAAGCACTTAGAGCTTTCTTTTTTCACAACTTCTTTGTACTTAGTCTGAAATTAGGGAACAATCTATTACAATTAAGTACTTTAGCCAGGATTTAATTAGACATCAATAGATGTTAATGAAACTAATTTTTGCAACCTTGTACGAATTGTTGAATTTCATCTTTTTCAAAATTTCTAACTTCAAGGAATTTTCACAAATATTAACAAGAAGAAATGCTTTGGGTTCATTAATTAGAGTTAAATCACTTATATTTCATAAAAATAAATGGGTCATTGGTTTACCAAATTCTTATTTTTGAAACAAATCAATTATGCTTCTTCTACTTTACAACTATTTCTGAGTATTTTTCACGACTGAACATTCCAAGCATTTCTTCATTTGTCATAAGATGATAGAATACTTATTTTACCATTGTCCAATTATGGGTGATATGCTACAGGTTTGCAGAATTCTTGCTTTCAAACAGCTTACTTTCCAATGTCTGCCCCAGACCAATTAGAAGTTTGACCTTCCTGCTCATGGGCTGAAGGAAACATTGCTGTGCTTGGAAACAGAGAAGGAAGAGCTTGTTAACTGCCTCGAGGCAGACTACAGCCAACGTTTTGATGGGAAAGTGTCAAAAACAAACCCTTACTGATGCAGACCAGCCACATGCAATTGACTCCCTCTTCTTTAACCCACAAATTCCACTGGGCAACATGCTAGGATTATGTTTTGCAAATTTTCAACCCATAATATTTACCCATTTCTCCTAATACAGTACAAGTTAATTAAAGTACATGACATGAAGCTTAACAACACAGACAATAATCCTGCATCAATTAAAAGTAAAATCCTTTATGATTTACCTGAGAAACAAGGACAGACGCATTTTTCAAACTTTGTTGTTCGGGTGTATCTGACACAAAAGTATACTTTCCCTTTGACTTTATGTATTCTTCTCTGTATTTAATCTAAAAAGAAAGTCAATGTCACCAACACAAACTGAAATCCACAAGGAGACCCACTCAATAACCTTTAAGCAAACATATACCTTAATTTTAACAAATGCAATGTTCCATTTAACCATGTAAGTCATTCCATTTGTTACATTCCACTAGTATTGAAATTGCGGAGACTTTAAGAAAATGGTGAACTTAATACAGAATGTTTAAAACAGTCCAAATAATTTAACGCCAAATGACTGACCGCTTCGGTGACACAATATGTGAAGTGAGAATCTATGACTTTCTTGTGGGTTTTAAAGAGCATTGATCGTGTGAAATTCATCAAGATAATGTTTCAACAAAAGTACTTACATCGCTTATCTGATCACTACATTTCTGGGCAAATTCAATACTCCAGTCTTTCACAATGGGTTTATAGAGAGCCTGAGAAGAAAAACCAACATTACTAGAATATCTTTTCATTAGAAGTTACTGATATATAACAGAACCAGTGTGAAATTTTTAACCTCTTCCAGTACTTCTTCTCCATCTTCTTTGCTGTTATTATGAGCCCTCATTATTTCTAAATTACAAACTCTCTCAACAAATGTTTCAGTAGCTGCAACTGCTTTGCAATAGCCTATTCTAACATCCACTATGTAGAAGACAGTTTAAGACCACATCCTAATTTAGCATTCACTTGATGACTTGATGGTCTTTATCTCAAGAATTCAACGGGGTGAATACAAAAACTTCACAGATGGCCCAGTGGCCAATTGTTCTTTTAAGCTAATAATTTTTAAAGGTAAAAACTTATTTTTCAGACCCAACCTAAACTATGTGTGTATGAGTTAAGAATTTAATTAAATTTGGTGCAAAGGAGATCTGAATAGCATAAATTCACTCCCAACTGACTAAGTAAGTAGTATTTTGCAGTCAGAATGTCTGCGAAGGAATTTTTATTACTTAGGAATGTGTCTCGTAGATCAGTGTCCTGTTTTATCATTTGATGATGTTGAATGTCCTGTCCAAATTAAATGGTAGCAGAATACCCATCTTACAAACCAATAATAAATATTTTATAGTTACTAGAGATCTTGCATGGCAGGCAACAAATTTGCCTTTATTTAATTAACCATGTTCAACAATACCATTTGATGACCAGAACAAACACAATAGGCTGAAATGCCTCCTTTCCGCATTCTAAAACTCTCTGATGCTATGGCAGTTAAGTTGGCAACACTCCAACCTTGGAGTTACACAATCCTGGGTTCAATTCCCATTCCAAGGCGTATAAAAAAATCTTCAGTGTGGTACTTAGAGAGGGCTGTACCAACATCCCTTTGGGAATGACAGATGCCCTGTCAGCCTTATAAAATCATACATAACAGAAGATGCTCTTTGGCCCATCAAGTCTATACCACAAAAAATATATTACAACCTACGCTAGTGCCGCATTCCCGCATTAAGCCAATGGCTTTGAATGTTATGGTATTTCAAGTGCTCAAGTACTTTTTAAAGTTTGTGTAATTTCCTGCTTCAACACATCCTCAGACAGTGGATTCTAGGCCCTGACCACCCTCTGGGTGAAAAAGATTTTCCTCAAATCCCCTAAACCTCCTGCCTTTCACTTTAAAACTATACCTCCTTGTTATTGACCCTTCGGCAAAGAGCAACAATTGCTTTCTATCCACCCTGTCCATGTATCTCATAATCTTATACACCTCTATCAGGTCCCTCCCCTACCTTCTCTGCTCTAGAGAAAACAACAAGCTTATCCAGCCTCTCATCATAGTTGAAATGCTCCAATCCCAGGCAACATCCTGGTGAATCTTCTCTGCACCCACTCCAATACAATCACATCTTTCCTATAGCACAGTGACCAGAACTGCACACAGCATTCCAGCCTGTGGCCTAACCATAGCTCTGTACAGCTCCAACATGAGCTCCTTATTCTTATAATCTATGCCATGACTGATAAAGGCAGGTATCCATATGCTTCCTTAACCACCCTATTAACCTGTCCTGCCACCTTCTGGGATTTGTGGACAAGCACCTCCTTCTGCTCCTCCGAGTTTCCTCCTGTCTTACCATTCATTAAGTACTCGCTTGTCTTGTTCCTTCTTTCAAAGTCCATCACCTCATATTCCACCCTCCCAGGTCGAAGTTAAAGATCCCATGACACTATTGTGAAATAGAGCAGAAGGGTTATCCCCAGTGTGCTGGCTGGTATTTATGCCTTAGGTAACATAAAAAAAAACATGATTATCTGGTCATGATCACTGTGCTGTTTGTGGGGGTTTTCTGTGTGTATATTGGAAGCTGTGTTTCCTGCATTACAACAGTGACCACATTTCAAAAGGTAACTCATTAGCTATAAAGCATTTTGCGATAGTGACAGTCATGAAAAGCACTACATAAATGCAAGTTGTTGTTCTTCTGTTTCAAAAGTTAAGCTGTCCGACTTGATTCTAACATAGAAATCATCCTCCCCCGTGTTCCAATAAATGTTAATAAATATCACAGAATCACAAGAACAGGAGTAGGCCATTCAGCAAGATGAGCTTGCTCCACCATTCAACACAATCACAGTTAATCAAACATTTTTACCTTTTTAATCAGTGTAAGAAAAATGTACCCACCTCCTCCCCATTACTTTGTATGCCACTGATAATCAGAACTGGATCAATCACTACCTTAATATTCTCAAAGACTGAGCTTCCACAGCCCTCTGTGGTAGAGACTTTCAAGGTTCAAACATTTGTCTTTATCTCAGGCCAACGTTGTATTCTTCTTATTGTTAAATTGAGCCACCTGCTTCTAGACTCCCCAACCAGAAAACACCTTACCTGCATCAACCCTGTGTATCCCTTCAAGTATATTTTAAGTTTCAATGAGATCATTTCTTATTCTTCAAAATTCTAGAGAATACAGGCCCAGTTTGCCCAATCTCTCCTCACGAAGAAGTCCCACTATCCATGGAACATGTCTGGTGAACCTTCATTGTATTCCTCCTACTTCAATATCTTTCCTGAGATTCGGAAACCTAGTCTGCACACACTACCTCAGGTGCAGTGTAACCAAGCTCCTATTCAACTGAAGCAAGATATCATTATGCCCGTACTCAAATACTCTGACAATAAAGGATAACATTCCACTCGCCTTCCTAATAGCTTGTTGCACCTAACGTTATCTTTCAGCGACTGATGGGCAAGGCTACCTAGGTCCCTTTCTGCATCTGCATTTTCCAATCTCTCACCGTTTAAGAAATACTCTTCACACCTGTTCCTCAAAAGCGTATAGCCTCACATTTCTCCATGTTATATTCCTGTTCATTCACTAAGCATATACAGATCTTTCTGAAAATAGTTACATCTTCCTCACAACACACATTCCCATTTAGCTTGCTGACATCAAAATCATTGACTATAAATTGTCAACGGCTGTGGGGCCCAAGTACTGATCTTTGCAGTGTCCCACTGATCGCAGCCTGCCAACACAAGAATAACCCACTTATTCTTACTCTCTGTTTTCTGCCAATCATTAATCAATGCAATTCATTAACCCCTGTTCCACGTGCCTTAATTTTTCTAACCAACCTCGAGGGGGATCCTTCTGAAAATTGATGTATATTACATCCATCAGCTCTCCTTATTAAATTTTATAAGTAGCATATTCAAAGAAAAACAAGTTTGCCTCATAACTCCAGGCTGATTCTGCCCAATCAAACCTTTATAATTAAGTGTCTATTTATCTCATCCTTTACAATATATTCTAGCATTTTCCCTACTATTGTTGTAAGGTTGAAAGGACTGTAGTTCCTGGTTTTCATTTTCACTCCCTTCTTAAACTATAAGGTGACATTTGCTATATTCCAATCCACAGGAATCATTCCAGCATTTGTGGAATTTTTGAAGATAATCATCAACGCATCGACCATTTCTGTAGCCACCTTCTTCAATACTTTGGGATGAAGACTGTCAGACCTGGGGATTCAGCAACATTCAGCCCCATATATTTCTCCATTGCTACCTTCTCACTGATGCTAACTTCCTTCAACTCCTTAGCCTCCCTACTCACCTGGATCTCGGGTTCTGGGAGATGTCTTGTATTTTGCTCATTAAAAGTATACAAAGTAATAATTTAGCTTCTCTGAATTTCTTTACTTCCCATTTTAAATTCTCCTGACTCTGCATGTAACCGACCTGTATTAGTTTTAACTGACCATTTTCTTTTTACATACGTATTGAAGTTTTTAAGTCCATTTTTATATTTTTGCTAATTTCATTTTTATTCTTTTCTCCCTAAGCTTATGAGTTTCTTGGTCCTCTTTTGCTGTATTCTTTACATCTCAGAGTCCTCAGAATTACAGCTTTTCCTGGCAACTATACAGGACTTTTCTTTTAATTGTATACCATCATTAACTTCCTCTGACAGTCATAGTTTACTGACTCTCTAAATGAGTTTTTGCAAGTTGAAGGAATTTATTGTCGCTGTAGGTCATGTACTAGTTATTTAAAGAGTATCTACTGCCGATATACAGTTAATCCTTTAAATGTATTTTCTCAGATCACCTCAGCCTAGTTGTGCCTCATGCAGCATTCCCTCTAATTTTTTCTACTGGCTGTGCAGGCCTCCACAGAAGCAATTCTTGAACCAGAAGTCAATGCCATGATCAGTGCGTTGATATCGATCACCATGTGTAAAAACCTCAGAAAGGCCGCAAGCACAGCTTAGAGGGACTATTAGCCTCATGCTATCATAATTTCCCTTCATCATATTTAACAACCTTGCGTCAAATTGATCTACCTCACTTTCAAATATAAGGTTAAAATTCTGTCATATTATGGTCAGTCATCCTAACAAGTTATTTTACATTCATTACATAATATTAGATACAAAAGTGTTTGTCCTCTGGTTGGCTTTTTAACATACTGCTCTAGAAACCCAACCCTAATACACTCCAGAAATTTGTCCACCACAGCTTTAGAGTTCACTTGGTTTCCGTAAGTCATATGCAGGTTTAAGTCACCCATGGTTACTACGTTGCCTGTGCTACAAGCTTCTCTCATCTCCTGATTCGAACCATGCCCCACTGGCATATAAAATCACTCCAGCCAATGTCTGCCACCCCTTGCCATTTCTTGCTCCACCCAAATAGACTTCACACTTCTTGTCTGATTGAGATCCTTCCTCGCTAATGTACTGATCCCATCCTTGTTATCGACTCAATTCCGCTCTTTTAACTTGTCTGACCTTCCTAAACATTGAATACCTTTGAACATTCATTTCCCAGTCCTAGTTACCATGTAGCCATGTTTTTATGTGTTTTAAAAGAGAGAAACTCTTTTCTAATGGATCTAAATATTTAATATCTCCCAGTAGACAAGAATGAGAGAAAACCTTATTGAAACAATAAGTTTCAGAAAGGGGCCATTGGCATT